TTGATTCCCTCTTTGTGTTTCATCCATTGCCCCCTCGTGTCCCCTTGATTCCCCCTTTGTGTTTAATCTATTGCCCCCTCGTGCCCCCTTGATTCCCCTTTTGTGTTTGATCCATTGCCCCCTCGTGCCCCCTTGATTCCCCCTTTGTGTTTCATCCATTGCCCCCTCGTGCACCCTTGGTTCCCCCTTTGTGTTTCATCCATTGCCCTTTTGTGCCCCCTTGATTCCCCCTTTGTGTTTCATCCATTGCCCCCTCGTGCCCCCTTGATTCCGCCTTTGTGTTTCATCCCTTGCCCCCTTGTGCCCGCTGGATGCCCCCTTTGTGTTTCATCCCTTGCCCCCTTGTGCCCCCCTTGATTCCCCCTTTGTGTTTACGCTCAAAGGCTTTGAGCACGGGTGAGAATTGGAACTCCCCAGTTGTACCGTTTGCGGGTAGATTGTCGATGAAGACCTTTCTGATAGATTGACTCGCAGAAGTCCCAGAAATAAAATTTGGTTTGTCGAAGCTAAGGTCTCCCTATCATTGATTGGGTGGTTCAGAATTCCCCACAGTTTGCGGTTTTGTTGGCAGATGACCGGGGAAGCCAAGCCTGAAATACTCGGGCTGAACACAAGTCTTTGATGAACTTGCGGCAGGATGTGGAAGAGAAGCAGGAGAAGGTTGCCAACCCGAGCGGCTACCTGAAAGCGGCAGTGGCTCGTGAGGGCTCAGCTCCTGCAATGTCCACCTATCCAACCTACCGCCAGGCGGAAACACCACCTGCCAACGTCATGCATTCTTCCATGCATGTGGCTCAACCCACATTTTTTCTCCCCACCAGCATCACAAAAGCATGCCTGAAGAACACCTGCCCCAACATGTGGATGCCGTATGATGTCGTACACCTTGGACGCAAAAAGCATGGGCCCGAGCAACATGCCACCAACGGTTGCGACCAAGGGCTCAACCAACGGGTTACCGTCAACCTAGTCGAATCCGATGGACCTGTATTGGAGCCAAAACATGGTCAAGTGGGTTCTATAGGCATATGTGTATAGTCTGTATATAGTGGTATGTGTATATATATATTATATATATATGATGGTATAGTGGTATAAATAAATAGGATATAGTGGTATAGTGGTATACTATATATAACATAATGTATATATTCTTTCCATTGCATCCATCGCATGCCGTGAGTAGAGGACCTCCAATCGCGCCAAGCGTAGGCTCCATCGACGGAAGTGGAGGAGGAGAAGATCCAAAAGAGGGTTACCTGGTTGACGCCCGGCGATTGGTTTCTGCACGCTTCTGAACATGGTGTGGCGCATACTCGCATATGAATCTGGTTTGGCATCGGACAGGCCCTCACAGAGATCCAAGCACATTGCAGATGTTTCCCAAAAGTGGAAAAATAGAAGGCATTGACATGCACCGACCCTTGAAATGGTATCCCTTTTTCCTGGACCAGTGGTTTTCTTTCTTGTCGATGTTGGTGGGAGGAAAGCACTTGCAGCAATCATGGACATCCAACGAAGTTGGCCCATGTTTTGTATGTTATTGTTGGAATTGTGAGGAGGGGCTCCCGCCTCATTGATTCTAGAAGATGCAGGGAGACGACTTTTCCCATGCTTATTTGGCAGGATCACACTTGATGGGATTCTGGAAAGCACAAGAAGGATCCGTGCTATGATTCGATGCGAGGTAGGATGAGGGATCACTATCTAAGGAACAGCAACATTTTCCCAGACCGCCGCATTGACAACGAGGCATGGGCGCTCCAACCAGAGCTTTCAGTTCCCTGTCCTGGTCGGGTCTCACAAGATGCCCCACCGACCTCGAATTAGCTACGTACTCAAAATCACTTGCACTTGGAATGTGGCTTTCCTTTTTTGATTCCTTTTTGTGAAGAACACGATGTTCATGTGAGGGCCGTCCGTTATTGCCAGTGAAGGAATTTAGATGAAATGTTAAAACATACATGTCGCGAAAGGGAAACTGCAGTCCGCGAAAGGCCGGCGATAGGACGGCGAAAGACATGTGCCAACCTAGACTTATAACACACAATGTGCATAACATTACAATACATGACAATACATGACACATCCTTTTTCCCGAACAGAAACACGGATTTTCGCGAAAGGGCCGCGAAAGGCCGGCGGTAGGCCCGCGAAAGGGCGCATTGCCTGGAAGGGCATCTGCCCATCCATGGCCTTGAAACCTTTGTTTAGATATCCCAAACACTGTGAACTCAGTGCAATGGAACAAGCTTATCACAATGCGCGAAAGGAACACCTGTGGTTTTTCTGCAAACGCGAAAGGACCGCGAAAGGCCGGCGATACAAGCTCAAAAAGAAGAGCTTTGTTGGACAACCCCCATGTGTCAAAAGGATCTATGGCTCCATGAGTGTCGTTTGATTTCTTGAAACCTCGCGGAGGCCATTGGGGCCATGTTTGGCCTGGGCATTGCGCGGGCCTTCGAACTCCTCAAGGAGATGGAAAGCAGCTCTATCATTGGAATCATTTGCCGTTGGATTAATACCATTTGTGGGACAAGATGATATTGGCTCGACACATTATATTGGAATCATGTCCGTGGCGCTCGACACATGAGCTCATTGACACTCCTTTGTGACGTTGTATTGATGCTACATGAATCATTTGGTACCACTATGCCACTTGCAAATCGACGCCAATGCACGGATTCTATGAACCCTCAGTCGGAGGCATTCAATAGTCAGATACACACCGAGAGGTCACACATTCTCACAATTACAAAGAATCAGGCCAATATATACCCTGGTTTGCATTCGACGCTCCGGCCAATATACCCCCAACTCCCGCTTTGTCCCATTTCCTTTGCAGATGGTCCAGCTGCTATGCCGCAACTATATATACGATCTGCAACATCATACGTAGTTCCCAGGGGGATAAGCACCCTTGAAGCTTCCAAACCATTCGGCAGGGCTTTTAATTGGGTGATGTGTAAAGCGTGTGTGTGTGTGTGTGTGTGTGTCCACCCCTGGACAAAGGGTTTCCTTCGACCACTCCAAC